GTGCGATTTGCGATCAGGCGGCGCGGCGGACAGCCCCGGCAGCGGGGCGGGGGGGAGTTATATTGCGGGGTCCTTCCTTGCTCACCCTGGTTCCTCTCGGAGCGGAGACGGCAAATGGCGGACTTCGATACCTACGACGATCGGGCCTACAGCAGCTTCGGCGGCGGCAGAGGGTGAGGCGGGCGTGCGCGGGCCCCGGCGGGGCGCAGGGGACAGGCGGAATCGGGGCCCCGGGGCGGCGGCCCTCCCAGGCTCGCCCACGGCGGGGACGGGGCTAGGGCCTTGCTGGGCCCGCGGAGGCCTGGGAGAGGTGCCTGGAGGACCGGGGCCTGGAAATGGCGCGCTCTGGGAGAGGGCCGCAGCGGTTAGGCTCCCGGGGTCTTGCTCATGGCGCGGAGCCCCCTCTGCCCTCGCCGACGACAGTGCGTCTTTGCCCCTGCTGCGGTCGCAAGGCCGGGCCGCGACGGCGCCGACTGCTCCGGAACGAGCTCCCACTTTAACCCCATCCCCCTACAGCAGGGCTGATGTCGGGCTCGGCTGCAGCGTGGAGGTCGGGGGCCTGCCCGGTTGTCTTCTGTGGTCTCCTGTTGTCTGCTCTGCAGACCCCTGGCCCCATTACCACGAGGCCAGCAGACTAAGGTCTTGAGCCTAGAGAGGGGCGATTCCCTTCCCCTTTACGGGTGATGAAGGGTTTAGGCGACTCCAGCTCTGGAATGGTCAGATTGCCTGCGGGCGGGGGCGACCTACGAAAACAAATACATCCGCTTAGCTTTTCTTTTCTTTTCTTTCTTTCTTTCTTTTTTTTTTTTTGGTGTGTTAGGGCGCGTGGGGTCAGAGTGCCTTAATGACAGGTGCGCTACGTGCTTGTTAGCAGAAAATTTTATTTCTACCTAGTTTCTCTTTCTGACCTGGAGAAGGAATCGCATTTAGCCTCGTTCTGATTTTGGTCAAATGCAGAAGACTATATATAATTGAAGTACCTTGTTTAAGGGCGACTCCTTGACTGGTGAAAAGAAAGCTCATGGCGCTTAATTCAAGAAACAGGCACTGAATTTTTAAAAACTAAAATAGAAGTTACTCTATACAGAATTTAGATGACAGGCTGTTATAAACATCTTGCTGTTTGTCAAGGACACACTTAGCCTTTGTGCCTTTCTGCGGAAAGGATTACTTTCCCAGGACAGCACCACAATAGTACTTACTGAGGTGTCCAGTCTCCTGGGTTGCCATCCAAAAAAGTATCTTTGTTTGGTGAAGAATGATCACTTTTTAAGTACCTTGGTTGGGGGAATGGCTCAAAACAAAGGCTTGTTTTGGTACTCAGTATCATTTATGACACTATAATATGAAAGTCGAGGTAGGTGGAACCACTCGTTATTTCAAAGAATGTTTTATTTGCTAATAAAAAAGAAATATATGTTGGATGACCTGTAAAATTACTGCCTTTGGGGTAGGTTTCTAGACATCAAATTTGTACTTAACTCATCTTAAAATTTAATAACAAGGGCTTTTCTTCTGGCTTCAAAAAAATGTTACGAAATACCCAGGAAAATGTAACAGAGTGGTTCAATTTAAGACAGATCCAAAGAGTTTTGGTTTCAGTGGGATAACAGTAAGGTGGTCCTATCATACTGAGTATGGGATTTTTTTTCTCTCTCTCTTTAATTCTGCCTTTTAGACAGTTTGCCAGCTCATCTGGTGACCCGAGGTGTTCAAGTTAGACTTCAGTACCTGTCAATTTTGACAGGTAGAAGTGACTTAAACAGAAACCTCTTTTTAAAGTGGTCAAAAGTAAAGTTGTTAAGATACTATTCACTTCAAATATGAAAAGGCAAATGAAAATGATGGCCATTTGCCCAGCTGTACTCCATAAACTGCTATGAGAGATTACTAAACAGCACCTTGCGTGCCTTAACCTTTGTAATATAAAGAGTCCCTTTGCTGCTAAGCATTTTCTATATCTGAATTTTTCTTGGAATTTTCCATTTGACTTCATGTTATAGAAAGTATTGCTTATTAAAATCATTTTTATTTTTGGGGAGAGGTTTTCGCTATAGGGCGCGTGCGCTTGCCAGACAGAGAGAGACAGAAAGTGAAAGATCCCCCCCCAGGGGCGATGGCCACGCCGCAATCCCTTCTCCTCCATTCTCTCGGGATCTTGGGCATGCATGCACACGTACCCGGCGTGAGTTTTAAGCCACCGGGTCCGGGATGCAAACCACCGTCGACTACGTGGGAGTCCAGCGACATAGTCATTACACTAACTGCTGGTCCCTATTAAAATCATTTTTAAAAACCCATTACGAGGGGGCCAGCAGATGGTGTAGTGTTTACTTTGCTGAACTTCTATGCAGATGACTGCAGTTCGAGTCCCAGACCCAGTGGCTTGAAACATACAGCACATGTGCACGTGTGCCCGAGATCCCAGAAGGAGAGTGGAGAAGAAAGGATTTTGGTGTGCCACTCTTCCCCCCGC